AATTTTCATCCTATCATGCCGCACAGCTCAAAACTCTCACTGGTTCTCTATGCCCAAGGGCTCAAATCCAAACTTCACACACTGTGCTAGTCTTTCCCCACCAACACCCCCAAAAAGTAATTTCTCAATTATGGACTTTTTTAATTATTGACTTATTTTCATCTGAGATACTTTGCCTTCTGCCCTCAAAAGAGTCTATTTCTCTGTTCTTTATAAGTCTTGCACATCTGAAGTTTCACCTAAAACACCCATTTATGGTCACATAACACTCCCCCATCAGCACCTCGGATACCTTGCATAATTATTAGCTGCTCTGGGAAGGAAAGGAAGCTACTGGCTCTCTTCTCTTCTGCTGTTGGTCACCTCTACTCTTACTTCCTCAGATTCTACCATTGTATAAATGTTAGTAAATGTACTACAACAATTTAACCCAGGGCAGCTACTCTACAGTTCTTGAGGGCACGAAACTCATCAATGTCATTACTTGTTGGTATCAAGAGATCTGCCCATATAAGCTACTCAGTAAACTTTAGCATTCCAATCAGACATATATGGAGTCCATAACACCTCGTAACATTTCTAAAATGGTATTTAGGAACAACTGATGCCTCTGGAGATATCCACTCCAGTTACGAAAGAAAGAAGAGAAAGACAGCAAAAGGAAGAGTTTGACCATTATGTGAGATGAGAAGAGTCAGGGTTACTGACAAGGTAAGGAGGCAATCAGTCTGTAGGCTTTACAGATCTTTGGGGGTCCTTACCAAAGCACGAGGTTCCAAAACCTGTCGTTTCTATCCAGGAAAGCAGGAAACTTGCTATCTAGCCAAAGAAAGTAGTGTTACTGGCTACTTTAAAAAGAACCCCCAAAACTCAAAGTTATAAAAATTATTTAACTACTAAAGAAGAAATATATAGAGGTCTCTTAAGCATTTCTGAGAAATGAGATGACCTGGCTGAGTTTTCAACTTATCATGATTAGCTGATTCTCTTTACATTCAGATTTGGGGTTCTGAAATTAAAGTGAGTTTTAGAGTTGTTCTGAATATTCTAGACTGTTTTCAGGTCTCAAGCAGGTTAGACTATTTTTTCCACTAGATCTAACAAATGGCTAAAAAGACCTGTTTGTACCTCAGATGTTGGAGGAACTGTTCAGGAACAATTCATCCCTGCAAGGCTATGAGTCACAACACACTGCCAAGGTCAGGGAGACCTCCGTTAATCAAGGAAGCGCTAGCCACACGTTCACTCAAGCTGTCATGGAGGAGCTGGCTGCAGTGCCCGCTTGCTTCTCTGTTTCCATAGATCATCAGTCATCTTTACAGGGGAGAAAATGTCCAACTTCCTCACTGGGTGGAGTGCCTCCCGCTAGCTCTTCATCCTGGCTTCCTGTCTGCCTGACTGGTGATTTGCCTAGAGGTGCACAAGAGTTACCAAAAGGAAAGTCTCCTTGCTTATGAAAAGAAAGGAAGGAGATCCACTTAGCACCACTGTATGATAAACTTGGGAAATAAAAGGGCAGGAAGCACAGAAGTATCTGACCTCTTACCATGTGCTCATTCTTTTTTTTTTCACAAATATTTGGTATTTCATCCACTATGTCCGGAAAATTCACCATGTCCCATCAGAGCTGTGTGTTGTGTGTTTGCACCAGCCATACAAGGTCTAAAAATTGGCTAATTTCTTCTTCTTAGCTCAGAAATCAATAGGTGTTAAGTCTTCATGGATTTCTGAATCATTTCCTCCTCTTCAAATTATGGTATACCACAGGCTAGGTGAGTGTGAAGGAAAGTCCAGGGGAACAAACTGATCTACAAATGTTGTCAAGTTTTATCAATGAGTGATAGATGAAATCCTGAGGTGGTATTGGGTGCTAAAGTGAGAGAATTGAAAATTTCACTGAGGTACTTAACTTTATTTGATCTTTAATCTGCGTAACAGTTGTGGGATTTTCACATGGGCAAAATTTAATATGTTTTCTTCTAGATTGGCCTCATTGTGAAGTTCTCATTAAAATAAGTTTTCACAACTAATTCTGGAGGTTGCAACCCTTTTGTTCCACCAAAGGCAGTAGAGGAAGGGCAAAATCCAGGAAGAGACAGCCTCTCAGTTTTCTTTACTACAAAAGCTTTCTTGGAAAAAAAGCTAATGGAGATTGCTAAATTTATTCTTAACCTAACTGCAGCAGCAGCAGAAAAATCAACTCCTTTTGCTCATTAAAGTAAACAAAGGTATTTCTTGCCAGTATTACACAAACAGTACTATTTCACTGAAATGAGCACTAGTTGCCTCATGGAAGCATTTGTGTACTTGTTTTTGCCAGGCAATAACATGCTAAAATATTCATTTGAAATTCCAGCTATTCTCCATAAAAATCTCATTGTGATATTTATAATATTAATGCAAATATTCATAACAATGAAAAATCAATGTGAGATCTAGAACCACCTCCATGCAGGTACTACAGACACTTCCCTTCATGAAGAAAATTTGACAATCATTATCCTCCTCAATGCTTAGACCTTTTCTCCTTCCCTGAAGTGCTGGGAAAATGAAATTTTCCAAAGGGTGCTTGGTCACCAAGCTGTTGATGTAAGCTTCATTTTCTCAGAAGAAGTGAACTTTTTTTAAAACTATGCTACTTCAACATGCAGTAGATACAGTCCTGAGCAATTAGAAAAGTTGTTTTTGTTGAGGACACTGAAGTATAATGGGTAACCATAATCCTCAGGTCAACAACTCACAATCAAATTAATGAGATCCTTTTTTTGCCTCAGTTGCATGAACTATAAAATGGGATACTGCTGACACAGAGAAGTCCTGAAAACTAATAAAGGTCAAAAAAACAATAAAATAGAACCAGGGCAATGATGTAATTAAATAAACAACTGATTGAACAGACTTGTTGCATGATGACAAAGGCATGTTCAATAAAACTACTTTGTTGTTCTGCTTTATACATTTACTTGCAATGTTAGTACACAGACAAGTACATAGTTTAAATACATTATGAAACTTTGATGTTTTAAGGGTTTCCATAAAAACTATTAAGAATAGTTTTATATGAAACCATAATATTATTGTTTTAATCAAAGGAAAAAAAATCATCCCAAGCATCAATTAGTGAGTATATTTGCCTGGAGAGGCACTGGTATAAAGTATAATTAACTTTCCTCATATAAAACTTTTAAATAATAAACTGAATGATGAGATAAGGTGTTTACGCAAATAGATGGTATAGAATATTATTTGGTTATTACTTTTCCTCTTAAAATCTTAGGACCTTACTAAGGGAAATAGTTTTCATGAAGAGAGAGGTATAGGGCTTGAGAAAAGTTTCCTAATAATCATGAAATTTCTCAGTAAGATGAAAAAGAAAGGCAGGTGTAGGACCAAGAAGGAAACCAGCACCTTCTTTCTTCCTCTCAAAGATGCTAGTCTTATTCTGAGTTGTCTAAGAGTCGGCAGTTGGGAAATACAATGTTTGAAGACTGATAGGCAGTTCAGAAGACTGAAGGTCAGTGATTACAGCCACAGGTAAAATACTAAGAACAACGACCTACGAGTTTAAGAGTTTTCTAAGAATCATTAAACTCAACTCAGGGGGTTCAAAATGTTATTCTATCACTCCACTGCATGCTGGCACTTGTACCATATCAAAGTTTAGCCTCTGTGAAGGTCCAAAGCTAACACTCTTTTCAAGAATGTTAGTTAAGAATACTCACAGTATTATCCAGATGAGCAAGAATCACCGGTATGTGCAGACATGTCCTGCAACTTGCTTCTCTGAGATCTCAGGATCTTACAGTTTTAACAGTGGAAACCTGTACCACTGATGCCCTCCTTACATACCCGGCCCACACCTGCAGTGAAGTATCAGCCAGCCAGGCAAGTTCACCTGATTCCTCTAGGGCTGTGTGTCCCTCCATGAGTAAGTCACTCTACGGCTCCCAGACCACACAGGTTTCAAGCTAAACCTCTTGCTCCTTCCGTGTGAAGAACCAGTGTGCATTCTAGGACTCAAGAAGGACAGCAGCCACAGCACGACTGGGGAGGACTAGGGCAACTCCAGGCAGCGCGGAGGCTAACAAAAGGTAGGAGGCCATGGGAATGCAGAGCAGAGGACGGCGTACTGGGAGGCAGCCAGCATCTTACATGCTGCCATCACCTGGTTTTCACCCAGCCCTGACATCTAACTCTTCAGATAATTCTTTAAAAATGTAAACTAAAATACTGGTAACGAAGGAGACTTTCTTAAATGCAGCTCTGCACAAGCAATCTGTTACCTTGATCCTTCTTTGAAATCAAATTCATACCTTTTCCTCCTTGCATAACTTTTAGACGTTTTAGCCAACATGCAAATCTCACTTGTCCACACAGACTACATTTAACCTTGTGGTAATAACACCTTTGTCCCACCCCAGAGAGCCCCCACGTTTGATCTCTGGCTCTGGGTTCTGACTCCAGCTTCCTGCTAAGGTACCACCTGGGAGGCAGGAGTGAGGGCTCAAGTAGCTGGGTCCCTGCCACCCACATGGGAGACCTGGACGTTGCTTCTGACTTTAGCTAGACCCATCCCCATCACTGTGAGTATCTGAGGACTGAACCAAGGATGGGAGCCCCTCTCTCTGTCTCTCAAAAACGGCAAACAAAACTCACGTGACCTCCCACAGGGGCTCAGGGTTTGTCTGAATTGTTGAAGTAACATTGTTTTTTCTTCTAAAGGGTCTTAATTTCCATAGTCACTAGGAACTGTCCCATCTTAGCATGGTTGTGGAAATAAAGTTTTTTTTTTTTTAACCTTGAAAGAGAAGTAGACAGCTGTTCATCAAACTATTACTTTCTTCACTGTTAATGGCAGTTACTGGCGAAGTCTAATATATTGATTCTACTAATTCCCAAATATTTAACTTCACAATTATTGCATGGATTCCTGCTTCCAGAAGTACATTCTAGTCTTAGAAACTGGCAAAACTGTCTGGCAGCCACACCGACCCGGAAGGGGACAGAAGGCAGAAAGAGAACTCCCTTTCGTGCACTGCTCTCGGGACTGCTGGCTATTTGCAGAATTCTTATGTCAACAGCACCAGTAAACAAGCGTTAATATTGCAAGTGGAGGCAACAACCAGAGGGAATTCAATGTCGTTAGCTGCATGGAGATGGGAGAGGGCATCGTGGCAGCTCCTGGAAGCCAGCGCTCTGTGGCTGTCAGCGGTGTGAAATGGAGCTGCTTCAAAGCCGACTGGGCTGTGACCTGAAAGCTGCGCATCCCTGCACCTGGTGAGTGAGGATCAATGACTGTGTTTGCCGGGCTCCAGTCCTCCCCTTGGCTAATGAAAGCTGTGTTGAAAGGCAGGCTATGGGGCCTCTGGGCAGCTCGCAGCCTGGCATTAGCAGAGTTTGTTACAGAGCTTGGCTGGTGAGTGTACCAGGCACCAAAGCCTCCCTCACCCTCACCCCCCTTCCCTGTTCTATCCACCAACTCCCCCTCTGGCTGTCTGTTTAGTGTCACTCAGCTGGGATGGATCCCGTTAAAGATCTGACGCTTAGTGAGGACTCGGAGGTGTCTGGAACGCCTGCCTCTAATCATAAACACCACAGCTGGCAATGATGTGGTCGAAAAAAAAAAAGCACCTTGATCCAGTACACATTCTCTTTGATGTGTCTGCAGTGAGTTCACTGCCCAGAGAAAAAGGTACGGTTGGAAAAAAAAAAAAAAAACTGAAAAAAAAAATCAAGTTTGACATTCTCAAATCATAACCATATGACTTTCAATTCCATGCTTTAAAAAATTTCATATATATATATGTATGTATGTATCATCGCATTTTGTTCTAAGAAACTCTGAGAAGAGGCATCTGACAATGATAACATGAAACAGGTTTGGAAGATAATGGCAGTTTGAGAGGAAAATACTTCCAAAAGGGGGGGGGGGGGGAGTCAGACTGCCACTACCAAAAAAGGAAGAAGCCTTCTGCCAAAGATTGCAAACTGCAGTGACCTTAAGTAAGAGACTGTAGCTGATTCAAGGGAAAATGAAAACTTTTCAAAGACAACACTGCCTGCACTGCGCCACTGCTGATAAGTGCCTTCTGCCCTCTTGCCTTTGGGGTGGCCTGGTAAACACACAGCCTACTGTGCTTCCAGCCTCGGGCCCAGGGCTTCTGATGAATATTCAGCCACATTAACATGCATTTCTTTGTTGTGCTGTTCTTGGTGTTTCCACCCCTCCTCCTTTTAAATCCTACGCAGACAAGTCTGGTGCAGGCAAAGTCCTTAGGATGTCAAGTTGCGGCATCTGTACTGTGAGGTGCTTTTCCAAGTAAAACGCTAAGATGCCCTGACAATTATGGGAGATCTTAAAAATGTATATAAACTCTGTCTTCCAGACAAGTGAGTTTATAACGGATAATTAGTCTCAAGGCAATTCATAATGTCCTCTGATACAAACTGAGACAAATACTACTTATGTACCATCGCTGTCTGAAAGACAAACATTAAGTGCCTCACATACCCCAGGATCCAGGGTGAGAATTCAAACACTCTTGATTTCTAACCAAAAGCCTGCTCTTTCTAGTATACACAGTCAACACAAAATAAGTCCAGTTATATAGGTGTGCTTCTTTTTAAATCCTACAAAGGACTCTGAAAAATAACTCTTAAGACTAATTAGATGTTGATATTAACCCATAATTTGACCCTAATAAAAAAATGAATAAACAGGTGGATTAGCATTCATGCTTTTAAAATGCTAAAGCTCTCAGATGAAAAGCAACTTTTATACTACTCTGACTGCAATGAAATAGTCAGGTGATTCTAATTCTGAATGAGGTAGATGATAATTAGATGTTTCTGGTTTCTGTGATTCTGAGGGAAAAGGGCAAAACTGCTTCAAACTGCTCAGTCGCTCGGTGACACAACCCACGTTTAAGAAACCCCTCTATAAATGGCACCCAGGAATGCAGCAGCCACACATGCACTAACAATATCCAGACGGGGCCAAAAGGTTTGGACACTGCTGTGTTGTAGACTGACTGAGGTTCTGCAGGCTAACAGCGCTCCCTGGAATGAGGGCCGTGTCTTTAGGTTGAGATAAGATCCACATTTGTTGAGGGTTATTTACTGTTGGTGTATAATGTTCTGTGTGTTAAGGAGCGTAGCTGCTGGCTGGAACAGGGCAGCTTGGCTGGGCTCACAGCTGAGAACCCTCAGGAGCTTGTACACCCCTATAAGGTAATTTCTTTCTCTTCTTTACCTTAAGCAAAGCAATTAAATGTTAGTCTATCTTAGCAAAGTGAAAAGCAAGCATATGCTAATATATACCTAAATACTGGCATTCACTGCAATATTTACCTTACTGCATTACGGCTTTTGTGATATCTCACATTAAGTAAACCTCTGAAAAAAAATGTAGCCCAGTCCTAATCATAAGTATATGTTTTAAACTGTGTTGCTTACCATAGAGGAGGGAGAAGCAAAAGGGTAGATAATTCCTAAACAACTTAACACTGACAAATTAATTTCATCTTGAACTTCTCCCCCTGAAAAGACTTATATGTGCATGTCTAATCTAACACCCCATGATCAAGGCATTCCACTTACAGCACCAGGAAGTTCATTATGGGGAGACATTTGTGATTAAGATGCTGTGTGGGACATCTGCATCCCATATATCAAGTCCCTGGGTTCAAGTTCTGTCTCCACTTCTGATCCAACTTCTTGCTAACGCATACCCTAGGAGGCAGCAGACGATGGCTGAATGTTCTTGGAGGGTCTGTGCCACTCATGTGGGAGACCTAGAATGAGTTCCAGGTTCCAGGATCTTGGCCTTGGCTTCAGTCTGGCCCAATCCTGGCTGTCATGACTATTTGGGAAGTAAACCAGCAGATGGAAGATGAATCAATCAATCGATCTCTGCCTTTCAAATAAATAAATTTACAAAGAAAAAATGCTTAATATTTTACTTCCTTCATCCAAGGCTTGAAGAAGACAAAAAAAGTCATTTATTTCATTTTTGAAAGAAAGTAGGTCTAGGGTGTTCACATAAACACAGTTAACTGTAGCTTTGATGTAACCACACAAAATTTTATTTTGAGGGAGGTAGATGGAAAAGTCATAGAATACTTTTTTCTAAGCTGATAAATATACTAGATAATTGCATAATTCTCAACCATACCTGAGCTTTGCAGACCTATTCTAAATGAACTTTGGCATAAATATCTTACTTATGCCATGGTTTCCACCATTTGGTAGAATAAAGTTTTGTGGTCTGGAAGGAACATCAACAAACTGGTGAACAGGGTCCACAGCTCCTTGTTGAGAGTGAAATCTTGGGAGGTGGACAAGAGAAGGGTGTGCTGGTTTTCTACTGTATATACTTCTGTGTGGCTTGAATGGTCTATTGTGAAAATTAAATTTGAAAATAGAAAACGCGCCTTTTAACTAATTTAACTTTAACATCTCTGTTATGTGAGTTTTTGGTGTAAGGTGCACAGGGCACATTTTAACAAAACCAGAAAGCAAATGTCTTCTTCATACAGTTTGTTGTGTCAAAGAAGAAAAACCACAGATGCATTATCAGCGTGTCCTGATGTTAAGGAGAGAAGGTCAGATTAATTTTAAGGGACACAGGCATGAAGAGCTTTGCTCCAATTTCTTCTAAAGATGAATTCTCCCTTTGCTGGCCTCCCTTCTTAACTGTCATTAACACATAACAGACAGTAGCGACCAGGGACTGTCTCTCAGGTGTGTAATCATCCTTCCCATAGCAAATCCCAGAATACTGGGCCACCAGCACAGAGGAGGGATGTGTTCCAGAGGGACATTCTCCCAAAAGGAATTTCATCTAGAACTGGAAACCGGCACAGCCTCTTTGTGAAGTCCCAAAACACAGGAACTGGCCCTTTCTAGTGCAGTGTGACTTTTGTCTCTGGTCATCCTTAGAAGATTTAGGAGGTAACTTCTTATGGCGATGTAGAGACTCAAAGACAATGCTGTGTCCCTTAGGATGGGAATGGGCAACACTACTGCTAGGAGAGTTTCTTATTCTGTAGATGCTAGTAAGTTCTGAAGGGAAGTGGTCAGGCTCAAGAACCAGCATGTTCTATCTATTTAGACCCAGTAAGACTTACAAGGGTAGACCAGAAGGCCTGTCAAAGCTACCAGCAGCAACTTGCTACCTGTGGAGTTCTTACTGTGCCATATACTGAACTGCTATTACCTCTACTTTTTCTCTCTTACAGCCTTGTAAGGTAGATACTACCATCTGTTTTACAGAAGAGAAAACGGAAGTTTTCTCAAACACATATAGCTGGTGGGAGACAGAACTGGACTTTGACAAGCAAGTGGAACCCCAAAGCCTGTGCCTGGGAGGCTCACCCCATTACAGGACAGATGACCACATCTCAGGCATCACTGGACAGGCCTGATTCCACAAGTTCTGGGATCCAAATGGGACAACGTCCAGAATCTAAGCTCTGAGACTAATTATCTTTAAGGATCCTCTTTGAGGAAGTTTAACAGACAGATTTGGCAGCCATATCCAATTTCTGCAGAAGACCATGTCTTCTCTTTTCCCCTCTGGTTAGATGCGCTCCAGGGCTTTCAAGAGGCCCATGAGGAAGCACTTCCGCTTCCTGGTCGGACTTTCATCCATAAGTAAAACAGTCATCCCACGCTATTTAACTCCATCCCCAAAATACCACCTTAGGAAGATACTTGGGCTCTTCCAGCTTGAAGCATGCTTGACATAAGGTCACAGGAAACATGGAAGGTCTGCACTTCATTATGTGAATGATTGTGAAGAAAGAGGAGAGAGGAAAGGAAGAAAATCTTGAACAGAAAGTAAGCCAAAAGATTCTAAAGGAAAAGCACAAAGGGTTAAGTGCAAAACCAAGCAAGAAAAGGAACTGGTCTAAGATGAACTTGAATTGAGAGCCAGAGATTCCCATTCTTCTGGATTATTGCAGGCAGCTGGGTACAGAGCCATTTCTCATTGTCCAAATCTTCCTCAAGCCTGTGTGTGGACAATGACAATTTAGGTAGCCAGAGATGAACATTATCTGAACAGCACATAAGAGAATACAAACAAACGGAGATTCCACTCATCCAAATAGCACTCTAAATAATTTAGCTGAATCTATTTCATCCCTCAGTGCAGACAGCTAAAGTTTGCATCCTGAGCAATAATTGTACTTTGTGACTCTGGATTCCACCACACATGCATCAGCTATAGGCACACATGCTGTGCTACCGCAGCTTTTGACAACAGGCTCTTTAAATGACTTCATACATAAGAATCCTGGGTTCAGTATGGCAAAAAAGGGGAAAAGAAAAAAAGCAAAACCTGAAGTCCAGGCAATTTTGAAGCATTTTCCCCAAGACACATTGGGACTTTGTCCAGTTTACACAGATTTACTTCTAAACCAGAGACCTGTGGGGTCCAACCCCACATCAAGGAGTGAGACACAGGAGAAACCCCTCAGTCAGGAGCATGGCTAACAGCAAAGTGCTATAGAGCAGGCTTCCTGAAGATGAAGAAATGGCCAGGCTGCTCCGGAGTATTCGAGATTTAGAATGTGACATTTGAAGGGGTTGCAGAAAGTTCATTGAAAATGCACGTTATAGCAAAACTACACATGGATTTTGAGATTCTTTTTGTACCCGAACAAATTTATCTTTTGATTCCATTTTCCATGAACTTTTTGAACTCCCCATGGATCTGGCCAGTGAACTTGGAAGAGGCCAGGAAAAGAGGTCTGCCAGAGCTGCTTTTCAAAAGAAAGAGACAGAAGCAGTGAAGGTGCCATCTCTCTCCAATTTACTTGCCTGCTTCCAACTCAGAATTTCTCTGCTGCTCGGTTCCAGCAGAAAGAGGGATTTGACTAAGTGGAAATATGGACATATTTGCTGATTCTGTGATTTAAGCAGCAGTTTCATGACCACTTCAGTGTTTTATGAAATACTGTTATTAACATGGCAGTGTTTTCTTATTTACTTGCCATAAATAGGTAAAACGTGAATGGCTTACATTGTTAGTTTTGAAACTCTAATTTGTGTGTGTCTACACATTCATTACAGGAGAAAAAGGGAAGGGATTAGAATTAGAAAGTCATCAACAATTCTTTTTTATGTGTGCACTTTTAATATGTATTTTGTTTTTTCTACACAGCTTTTGTAGTAAGAGATTCTTTAAAAGTGCTATTTCCCACTAACAGTAGTCCCCAGCATTAAAACTTATCATGTTAAATTGGGTTTTTGAGTTTTCTGATTTTTTAACCTTAAATGGAGAAGAAGGGGGTATGACATTTTTTAAACCACAGCAAGAAATCCATGTGATGGCTGCAATTGCCTTTAAATACTCATATTTTTGTGTGAGTATTGGGCCTGCCTGTGACAATGTTCTTGGAAAAAATTTAAAAGTTCCCTTCCTCCAATAACATGCTCAACGTCCTCTTTTGCCAGAGGCATTCACTCATTATATAAATCAAACGAGCACACGGCACTAGACAAAATGTGACTGGTAATGCCCAGCGCATTCCTCTGCTGGAGCTAAGATGATTTTGCTGCATTGCATGCAGATGTCAGGTATTTTAATAAAGAGCTCCATTGTGCAAGTCCCACCACTCCTCCATAGCTCCCAGCACTCCCCACACAGGGGGGCAGGGGGAGAGGGGAAGAGCGACAGCCATTCCAGCTGGAGTTGGAACCTCGTCTGAGTCAGGAAAACCACAGCTCATAAGCAAAGAGGAAGCATAATGTTCTACAAGGACAAAACATTAGCAGAAATGTCACTCAGCCCCAGTTCCACATGTTGGCTGCCACGGCCTCTTCCTCCTAGCATGCCCGATTGATATAAATTCCATCTGCTCAGCAGCCAAGTGACAGAGAAGAAATACCGGCATCTGGTCTCCATTGCTGTCGGGTTTTTGTTCCATGTTAGACCTTAGCTAGAAACATATGAAGAGATGAAGGTGCTGGCAAGCAACTAAAAGGCTGAACTGGCATAAAGGAGACTTTCTGATGCTTTTCACACTTCACTCTGGATTTTTAACAGGGATGGGGGAGGGTGTGACAGAGACTTGATAAACTAAACAGTGGGAGCCAATAGGCCTGTAGGTCGTTTCATGTTTTTTAAGGTTTGGGATTTGTTTAAAGAGTTTTAATGTTAAAAACCATAAAGCAAAACACTTATTCCCCTTTCTATCCAGTTAATGCAACTGAAGGCAACTAAAGCACACAAGAATGTTCTTCAGCCAGTTTCCACCCCCACCCCACCCCCACCCCCACCCCTTAAACACGCACTGGTTTGGACCCGCTCCACAGACACTTCAGCTTCTCCTGAAGAGCAGCTGAAAAATGCCAAACTCCAAAACCACCATTTTCTTTTTTTAACCCTCAGATGCCCAGGAAAATATGAGGTTACCTATCAAGCCTAACACCCTCAATGGAAATAAAGCAACTCCAAGCTCCGTGAAGAAGGCCGGGTGTCCCAAGAGTTCACTTCCCACATCACTCTCAGGCCCTCTGATGATTCACTGGACCAGGACACAGAGGAAAGTGGAAAAGAAGTGGTGAGAGAACACGGGTATCAGTTTTTCTTTCCTTCAGTGTCCACCTGCATATTTCCAAAGCAATAACCCAAATGGCTCCATTCACAACTAGAACACGAGTAGGGTTCTAAAAAAACAAAAACAAAACTAGGATTGAGGTCAGCTCCTAAAGTTGCCTTGGAAAACAACTATGAAAGTGAATCCTGTTAAACTCACTTCAAAATATGACAAAAGAGAAGACAACATATAAACTTTTTAGCAGAAGGGTGCAAGAAAGATTAAAAGGCAATCTTAACAATTGCACTGTTTTACAACCCAACTAGATCTTAGTTTTACCTAAAATGCAGCAATGATTTTTGTTTTACAAAGAGAAAAAAAAATCAATTTTAGTTTTATTTAAAAATATGCAACCTAAGAACCACTATGTATTTATGTTGTTTGGGACTGTGCTGTGAAACAAGCTACTTCTTCAGTCTCCAACTTCCTCTTTATCACTTGGTGAGTGAGCACCTGGGGTAGGAACACAAGGCATGGTAAGAAAAGTGAATCAAGATAAAGACAGCAAAACTGACAAGAACGACCAGAAAGCCTCACGAACAACTGATGATGACCCCATCAGTCCTGCAACTGACTGTTATGGGTGTTAATCATTTAGGAAATTGTAATAAAGGACAGATGAGCTACTGACAAACATTCAGGCTAAGGAGTCTTCAGCTCAGGTCCCTCATTTGCCTAGGCCCTAAAGGGCTTCAGAATCTCCTAGGCACAGAAAAGAAGTCAGGCTGCAAACAAGAAGGATTTCTATTCAAGTATTTCTGGTAAATTCCCCCCCAGAGATTTCAGAAGAAAAATCTCCATGAATCCAGTAATTTTTGTAGATTTTTGGAGTGATTTTTAATAATAATTAATAATTTTTAATAACTTATAATTTTAAATACATATTCACTATTCATTTAAAAATTATTAAATGTTTAAATTAAAGAATGTCTTTGCTAATAATTAGGACTCTGCTCTGTCTACATGCAATAATTTATTAAAGATGCTTTAATCAAACATCAAGCCTTTAAAAATGGAAGCCTTTGAAAAAAACAGACTGAAAAAACAATAATTATAAGTCTTATGCATACTTACACAAGAAACATAAAAGTCCTGGCTTAAAAATTTTATTGTCTGAATACAAATTCAACATAAAATACGAGTGGATAATGTGAGGTGTTTTGATTGTGCACAAGACTTGAAGACCTTTCTTAGGTTCAGGAAACAGAAGTCAATCAAAAGTTACAAAGAAAAAAAAAACACACAAAAATTGGGGCAGGAGTTTAGCCAGTGATTGATAAGACACTGTGCCTAACTCTGGGGTTCCTGGGGTCTATTCCTGACTCTGCCTCGTGACGTCAGCTTCTTGTTGATGCAGACCTGGAGAGCTACCAGTGATGGCGCCAGTAACTGTGGCTCAAGTAATTGGGTTCCTGCCACCCATGTGGGAGACTTAGCTTGAGTTTCCTACTCCCAGCTTTGGCCTTGATTAGCCTTGGCTGCTGCAGGCATGTTGGGAATAAACCAGTGGATAGCAGCTCATTCTCTGTCTCTGCTTCTCGGATAAATACCTTTTTTAGAAATTCAAGTAAGACAGAATTAAGAAGAAAAAAAAATAACTGCAAGACTGAAAAAAAAAGAGTCGAAGAGAAAGTATGGAAAATATTTGCAATAAGGATATACTATGGGTTAAATTCTTCAAGACATAAAAGGTGTGGAATATGCATTAAAAAGGATTTCCACCACAATTAGAAACATAAAGAGAGGGCCAGTGTTGTGGCGAGGCAGGTTAAACTGCTGCCTAAAATGCTGGCACCTGATATGGGCACTGGTTTGAGTTCCAGCTGCTCTTTCCAATCCAGCTCTCTGCTAACGCTCCTGGGAAAGCAGCAGCAGAGAGCTGAGTACTTGGGCCCCTGTACCCACGTGGAAGACCTGGATTGGAGTTCTAGGCTCCTGGCTTGGGTTCTGTGGCCATTAGGGAGTGAATCAGCGGACTGAAGCTCTGTCTCTCCCTCTCTAACTCTGCCTTTCAAATAAATAAACCTTAAAAATTAAAGAAATGTATAAATAACCTGGAAAGACATTTTGAAAAGAATGGAAAAATGACTAAAACAATGGCAAATCTCACTTATTAAGAGAAATGCAAATGAAACCAACGTACCATCATTATCCCCATCACTGACCAGAATGCCAAAGTTGAAAGAATTTGTTTCCATACCTAGTTTATCAGTGCATGAGGGAATAGACACATAAATTATGATACATCTGTACAATGCAGCTGTTAAAAAAGAATGAGACAGCTCTTTATGTGCTGAGATGAAATTGTTTACAAGATATATTATTAAGTAAAAAATGAAAAGGGCAGAGTAATGTGCTCACTGTCTCTTCCCTCATTGTTTTTATCAAACCAACAGAAAGATAAATTGTGCTTTAGATGCACAGACTATTTTCAGAACTATATCCCAACATCTTGGACTTACTATCAACTATATGATTCCTTATACAATTATGTTTTTCACTAAAGGCATGTCTTTCTTTCCTTTTAAAAATGTTACTACTTTACAAATGTATTCTGTACAGCAGTATCAAGGACCAATCTATTCTTGAACTTATGACTAAATTTCTTTTCATTTATCTTAATATCTTCCTAGCTCCTACAGGCATAGATACCCTTGGAAAATAAACTAAAATACTGCTTTCTAGGTTTTTGTTTGGTGCTGAGTCTCCCTGAAATTTTTTCTTACCCTTTTCAGTATTTTCAGTTCACTATTGTGTTTAGTTCAAAACACATGAATACATATACACTTCCACACATACATGTATACACAGCCTGTCTGTACACGTGTAACAGGGCATTACAGCATTTTTCTGGATATCATAAATTTGATCATTTTCTAATTCATTACACTCATCAAAATTAGAATAGCAAAGATCATGTCAGGGGTAAATCTACTTCCAAATGAAAACCCAACCGACAGAATGCCTAACTGATTTACCTCCTTAGAGAGTTTATTTTAAAACAGTCTGTGTTCACAAATGTTGAGATTACTTCCCAGATACAGTTTAATGCTTCTATTGCCTTTGGATACCTTGCTCTCTAGCACTTCCTGAGCAAGGTCTGAAGAAATTCTGTATTACCAAGATTATTCTCAAAGAAGTATATATTAGTCACAAAAATGCAATCAGCAATCAAAATGTTTTCCTATCTGGACCCACTGTGCTAACACAGTATAAGATAGTGCACGTCTCTAATTTACTGCTTGAACTCACCATTGATATGATCATGATAGGTCAATGGAAAGTGAGTTCATAAAAAATAAACTCTTTTTTAAAACAAATTTATTAAAGCTCCATGACATGACTGGAATGTGGATTTAGCAAAAAAAAAACACACACACACACACACACACACACACAACACTAACTACCATCCATCAAAGAATTTACAACCCAAGAAAAAAAAGGAAAAAGTTTAACTGGGCAATTACTGCAGAATACAATGAGGGATGAGTAAAAATTGGCACATGGCGCTTCAGGTGATACAGCCAGCATGTAACAGGGAGAGCAGCAGTAGTCTCTGGGAAATGCATGGCTAGGTTGAGACATAAAGGCAAGGAGGAATCAGCCTGCAGAAGTGATGGGAGCAGTATATTTCAGGCAGAGACAGTAGAAGCAAGTGAGTGCATGTCCAAGGACCCAGAAAACTGCCAAAGACTTGGGGGCAGTTACCATTACAGCTCCCGGCCTCTCACCCTTAAGCTTTAGATATAGGCAGGGTGTCACACCTGATGGATCCACTAGCCAGATCAAATGCACCAACCCCAAGTTTGCAAACATCAGATGACAGATGATGATGCGGTGACAACTAGGTGCACGTATAGAATCAAAAAGGAAAGCTGTATTTGCAGCTGGTAAGATTCACTGACCACTCCTACTCTCCTCTCCACTCCCGTCGCCCTACTGTGGGGTATCAATGATAAGACCTATCATCAATACCCCAAAACATAATGCCGTCTTTCTCAAACTGTATGAGAACGTACTCAGTTGCCTGCTTGTGAAGCCCATCAACGTAACTTCCCACAAGCGTAAGGCTGCTAGGGTGGCTGAATAGCTAAAGGAACCTGCACAAGCTTCAATAGCAGGCTAGCGCACCATTCCTCTGTGAATGACAGCTGATGGGTCAAATCACCAGGGAGCAATTGAAGAGTTATTAATGGTGACAGGTACACTACCTGGGAGACAGGTTGAGAGGGAAAAAAGATTATTTATAAGTGAATAGTTAACAGCTGTACCTACTGCTAAGCATTACATGGATGCCACAAACTGTAGGATTCAAATCCTGAGTTACTCAAGCACGAACAACTGCCTGTCACCCAAATGCAACGCATCGCTACAAATTAAGGTGGGAGAGATGAGGTGCTGCAATGCCGGCTCACCAAGGAAGGCAATGTCATTCCAGAGCTCAGATAAGAGGTGGAGAAAGGCTGAGATAACCATGAGGCAAATTGTGGTTCTTCATACTAATGATGAATTTGCAAGAATAGCTTTATAATGTTTCCTGAGTGCTTTAGCAAGAGAACAGATGCCAGATGAATCTTGTATTAGTACCAAGAGCAAACTGGACTTGGAAATTAGGAGAGATTGAAAAGTCATCATGTTAGAATGGTAAAATCAGAAACAAGAAAGAAACCACAAAAATTTGTTTTCAAAAACACTGGTAAAGGGGCCGGCATTAAGTCGTAATGGGTTGTCACCACTACAATGCTGGCATCCAATATGGGCTCCTGTTCAAGTCCTGGATGCTCCACTTAGGACCCAGCTCCCTGCTAATGAGTCTGGGAAAGCAGCAGAAGTCAGTGTAAGTGGGCTGACCACATGAGAGATCCTGATAAAGCTCCTGGCTTCAGTCTGACCCAGCCCTGGCCACTGTGGCCAACTGGGGAGTGAATCAGCAGACAGAAGACCTCTCCTTTTCTCTCTTTCTCTTTTCCCCCTTCCTCTTTCTGTAAGTCTGCCCTTCAAATAAATAAAATAAAATGTAAAAAAAAAAAAAAACAAAAAACAGAATAAAAAGAAAAAATCCATTTGTATAATTACTAAGATGATTTTACCTCTATTTTAAATACAGGTTAAGTATGATATCTGCTGTTTTGATATGAACTAATGTTTATGCTACCTTATCACGACTGTGGACCACAAACTAAGTTGATACTATGCAAACCATAGCATGTATTAACACTAAGAGAATTAACAGTGGAAGTTATTCTTCTCAATTTCATATTCTGAAAAGCCTGGAAACTCAGTATCTACTGAGTTCAAAAACCTATGAGAATAAATATCTTCAACAAATTTTAGTATTTTTATTTCTCATGGATCTGAAATATCTATAACCATATGTATTTTTTTTTTACCACCATGAAACAAGAGCTGTTAAAAGAGAAGTTTTGAAAAGAAGAAAAAGTAATATTCAAGAGCTTGGGGCAGGTGCAGTGGTGCAGTGGGTTAATGCCCTGGCCTGAAGCGCCGGGATCCCATATGGGTGCCGGTTCAAGACCTGGCTGCTCCTCTTCCAATCCAGCTCTCTGCTATGGCCTGGGGAAGCAGTGGAAGATGGCCCAAGTCCCTGGGCCCCTGCACCTGCATGGGAGACCTGGAGGAAGCTTCTGGCTCCTGGTTTCAGATAGGCGCAGCTCCAGCTGTTGTGGCCAGTTGGGGAGAAAGCCAGCAGTGGATGGAAGATCTCTCTCTCTCTCTCTCTCTCTCTCTCTCTCTCTCTCTGCCTCTCCTCTCTCTGTGTGGCTCTGGCTTTCAAATAAAAAAAATATTCAAGAGCTATCCTTGTTTTAGAAAACCAAGGGAGTCTCAATTATTTTTAATGAAGTTTAAGTCAGTACAAGGTTTTTGGAAAACATGTAGGACACACTCAATAAATAATGGCAGGAAATACAACTTCTCTTATCTTCTCTTCATAATATGCTTGTTAGATGAAAAAAAGACATGGAATATAACACCCAAACTGTGTATGGTACTCACTTGTGCAAAAAGGAAATAAAAATAATATTTATATACATAAAATTACATTCTTCCATATTCAAGAATAAAATGGTGTAACTGAGGTAACTAAGCAGCCCAGAAATGGGGGTATCTATGTGCATGTACTAACTATTCAAAATAGAATTGTTTATACACACCTACTTACTGACATGGCAATTCTAAAAATTTACTCAAGAAAAACATTCAGTATATAAACATATAAAGATATTTCCTAAAACAATATTTGTAAAGCCAAAAAAACTTTAAGCAACTCCAGTTTCTGTATAAGGATTATTGAAATAAATGAGGTATATCCACAAAATGGAAAATCAAATGGAAATTATAAAGAATGGATGAGATGCCTATGGAACAACATGGAAAGAGGCCTATATTAGTTTCTTAGAGTTGTCATAAGAAATTGTTACAACCTTAGTTGCTTAAAGTTATTTGTTTTCCCATAGTTCTGGAGATCAGAAGTTGAAAATCATGGTATCAATAGGGCTGTGCCCATTCGGAAACTATGGAAATGAATCTGTTCCATGCTTGTCTCCTATCAGCTCCTGGTGATGGCTAGCAATACTTGGTCTGTACCCTCTTGCTCCAATCTCTGCTTCCACCTTCACATCACCTT